AAAAGCTCGCGATCGCAGCCAACTTTAAAATTTAGTTTAAATACTGTCTATAGACCAGGGATCGCGAACCTTTAATTTAAGATCCACGTGTCATTTTTTCTATAGAAATGTTTAATGATTAATTATTTTAAAAAAACTAAATACTATCAATCAGGGGCGTGCTGGGCCGCCGGGACACCGGGAGAAATCCCGGTGGGCCGGTGGTCCGGAGGGCTAAGTGGGCCGGTGTGCCGGAGGGCTATGTAGGCAGCATGCCGCAGCACGTGGTCAATTAAAAACCTTTTTAGTTGAGTTATGTATAAATATCATAATTATTTTACACATACCATGCATGCCAGCCTGCCAGCTTTGTTTCTTTTTTCGAGATTGTATATTGTTTATAAGTTTCCTGAGCAATGATAATTTGTATTAGTTTTTATTTTAAGTGCAATGCTATATGTTTTAGAATTGTGTAAAATATTGTCTGGTTGTGTTTGTTGCCTGTTTTTTTTTCAAGAATTTAATTTATGCTTTATGCTATAACATATATTAATTATTAATATATTAATAAATGTTTGAAATTTTTTAACTTGGTTTTGTTCACCCCCCATTTTTCGTGTGTAGTTGGCCGATTTTTCTGAATTTCCCGGGCCGGTCTGATATAGCCAGCACGCCCCTGCTATCAATATAATAAGTTATTCACGAGAAAGCGATTTTCCGAAAATTTTAATTATTTTCTGAAAATTTTTTGTAATTGGTAAAATAAATATAAAAATCTAACGTGGAATGATAAATCTAACATTATTTCTAGGGGGACAAATTTTAATGTACGTTTCATGAAAAAATTAAGTAAATTAAGTGAAAAAACAATAATGTTTTTTTTACAATTATTGTAAATCAACGAGAAATACGCTCAAAGTGATTCTCTCCATCTTCCGTTGTTCACAATGGCAACTGTCAAAATGACAGGTGTCAGAATAAAGGCTGTCAAAATGGCGGAAGTGCGGAAATAACAGCTATAAAAATTAGTGATGATAAAATGACAGGTGCCCAAATGACAGCTGTCAAAATAAGTTGTAAAAATAACTGGTGATAAAATGGCAGGGGCCCAAATAACAGCTATCAAAATGACAGGAGCCCAAATAAAAACTGTCAAAATTGCAGGTGCCGAAATGAGCTGTCAAAATGACCGTTTGCTGAAAAAACGTTATCCGAGCAAAGCCGCAAATATACAGCTATTGAATCACCTTTAGCTTTTGAATCACCATTTATAAGATTTGGAGCAATCCTAATCCACATTTGCTCCATGAGACCCACAAAAAAGTTGATTAAACAGTTTTTTTGTTTTTCTCTTAATTTACCTAGTTTAAAAAACTGACCAACAGATTTATGAGAAAATTACAGTATCTTATTAAGAATTAAAAGACCTTTAAAACGATATCACTTAAACCCCCGTGCAATTTAAGATTTTGGGGGCGGGTGGGGTAGAGCGCGTAGGGGTGCGGGTGGGGTCGTACAATAAAATGTCTCCCTTTACAAATAAAAATTGAGGTGCCACATTCACCCTTTAAAACGTTTGGGAGGATACGTTTTCGTTCGTTCGGACCGGTCCATGGACCGTAGACCGGACCGTTTTTGGCGGTCCACACTGTCAATGTTCCAAAACGGACCGGTTCAGTCGAACCTATTTTTGCTGGACCGGTCCAACACAAACGGTCCACAAACGGTCCGGTTACATGGACCTTTTTTGGAACTGAACCGCTGGCGAACCGGTCCATGGACCGAAATTTTGTTACGGTTCACACAACCCTGGTATATTTCGAAAACGGTTTAAAATTATGTTGTGAAATTTTGGTAAACTAATAGAGAAAGGGGGGGCATATTTAAACATATTTTTGACACCTACCCCCTTTTCCTATTTTAAGGGCAAAATTAAAATTATTTTTTAATATTTTATAATTTAATAAATCAAAGTTCCGTAAGCGAAAGCGCAATACATTTTTGTTTTTGCACACATAGGTAAAGTACATCATCTTTATTAAAAATCCAAAGTAACACCCCGCCCCTCAAAATAGGGAAAGGAGGTAGATGTTAAAAATATGTTTATGCACGATGACATTATAATATGACAATTATAACAAAAATTCTTTGACGTAAACGTCTTTTTATAGCCCGCGGGCGTTATTATGACCCAGCGGGCTATAATGAAACGTCAAAAATTAAAAACAACAATGTTACACCATTTGATATATTCGAAGTAAGTTTTTTCGTATAAAGATTTTGATTTTTCCGGCAGCAGGCCGCAATTTTTCGCCTTTTCAGCTGCTTCCTCAATTTAATTCATCTTTAAACTTTAAAACTGACTGATGTCAGTTGACATTATAATATGACAATTATAACAAAAATTCTTTGACGTAAACGTCTTTAAAAACAATATATTAAAAATAATAATATATTAATCGTGCATAAAGTTTTGTATGCATTGCTGGCATAATAAGGTTTTTATGGTCCTACGACGCTTTTCTAGCCCTCGCGCTAACGCGCTCGGGCTCAAAATAGCCCCTCGGACCATAAAAACCTTATTATGCCCTTAATACATAAATAACTATTAAATATGTCCCCCCACATCTATATTAGTTTATCAAAAATTCACAAAACAAGTTTTAAACCGTTTTCGAAATATTCCCTTGGAACACACCCGGTGTATTGGGTTGTAGTTATACATATGTATATGTTATAATGACGGGAATAAAGAGCCTGAAATAACCTTTTCAGGTAAAAATCTATAAGTATTATTAATGAAAACTCAAAATTCGATTTTAAAGGTAATAAGTTGTTTTAATCAGTGTCGGTTAAACCAGTTCGTAAATAAACAAATATGTCATTCAGAATAATCTACATACGATACGATCAAAAGTATTAAATTCCATTTAACAAATTAGTTTCTTCTATGGTAAATAAACTAGATATATCCCTTTGCTGAGGTTAAGGCAAAAAAACATCTTTTAGCCTGTGGGAAGTAAAACCCCGCTCTATAGAGCTGAAACCTGACAACACATGGTCAGACCACATCCACCGGAAGGTAGATGGCACGACTCGGCACCGATTAACTGATCGTGTGAGCTTTAAGAAGCAGAGAGATTGAATTTCAAGCCTGCTCCACTCATAGATAAAAGATTCCACTGTAGACCCTCCACATCAAGTAGGTAGCCGAAAGTAAACAAAAGTGAGACGAAGTATACTGTAATTCCAATACAAGCAAATTATTAAAATCCATTTAACAAATTCGTTTGTTTTATGTTAATTAAACTTGACATATTGTGGAATCTAAGTACCCTATTGGTAGCCAAAATCGTAAATTCTGAAGAAATATTTTTATGACTTGAGGCAGTACAGCTCTTTAAGATTTCTTACTTGCGAAGTTAAAGAGTTCTTTTTTAAGAAGTCTTATTTAGTTCGATAGGTGGCGCATTCGAAGTCTTCTTTCCAAAGTTGGATCTGACGTCCAAATAATAAAATTGAGCTTATGCAAACCTAATCAAGACGTCATATAGCAATCTGGGCATGTACCTTGGTACAAAACCCCGTGGTACAACACCGCGGTTTGGTGGGCGGACCTTGTCAACGTCGGGGGATGGGGGGTTCTATACCGAGTCAACACACAAACTTCAAATAGTTGCGCAAGTGTCGTAACTCAAAAAATGTCCAAAATCAGGTTTTTTATTAACTTTTTCTGAAAAACAACATACAAGTTTTTTAACATAAAAATATTAAACATAAATACAACTTAAATATTGACTTGGAGTCCAGTATATCAGCAGCCCATGAATGACGCAGTGAGGGAAAGGCCAAACTCTGAACAACTTCAAGTTAAATACTAAACACATGAGATGATGAGGAGCGGAATTACAAATTTGTCCGAAATAGATAATTTGTTTTTGCAAAAATCTTTTTACATTATTATGTAGGTATTATTAATATTAATTTTAAATAATTTGCTATAGTCGAACAAAGAACATTTTCAAATTAAAAACAAAACTTTTCGGTTTCTTCCATGTTATCAAAGAAACATTACTAGGTATATATAAACTGCTCAAAAGTTGGAATTTTTAATAAAACAGTTAATAATAATAAATTGATCATAAATGTTTTTGCGGATTTTTCGCACTCGACAGAAAAAATTGGCATCAAAATTGTCAAACATATCCTTCTTTTATTATTCTATACATTACATTTAAAAAAACGCAAGAAATATTTTATAAAAGTAGAGATAATTTTAATAATTGACAGGTGTGGACGGGACAAGATAAATCTTTTTTGTCCCATCCACAACTTTCAATAATTGAAGAATTTTCATTTGGACGAAAATTTCTATTTTTTTCGGCCGAAAAACTCAACTTCTGTACCCTCAAAAATCGTTTTTTCGATATTTCATGCCCAACGCAAACGCTTAAAAAAAAGGCGTTTCGGGACAAGGGCCGTATTTTCCACAATTTTGCATATTTTCGCATACAATTTTTTTTACAAATACTTCGAAACATACCCTATTTGATGCTTTATAGTTTGTTTCAATATAATTATTATTATTATATACCAAAAAAAATTACCAAAAACCGTTAATTTTTACGAGCTTATATGTATGTAACCCCTTAATTCGTTTCGCGCGCCTGAAATGGCCCTATTCTGAAATACATTTGACGCTCTCTGAAATAAAATTGAAACAGGCGTTCTGAAATACATTTGACGCGTTCTGAAAAACATTTTACGCTTTCTGAAATACTTTGGACTACTTATTCTGAAATAGATATGACAGTTTTTGAAACACATTTAGCGCTTTCTGAAATACATTAATGTATTAATCTGAAATTTAACCATTCTGAAATACATTTGATGCTTTCAGAAATACATTTGACTATTATGAAATATATTTGACTGTTCTGAAATACATTAGTCGCCTTCTGAAATACAATTGGTAAAGGTGTAGACCAGGGCAGGTAAAGTCTATTCATATAAAAAAATAATGTTACTTGAAATTAAATTTTTATTTCAACGTTTTATATAAAAGAATAGTAACAAAATATACTTCTAACTCTAAAGAATGCAACTAGCCACAAACTAAAATTAATGCTAGGTACAAAAATATTGGGATTCTTAAAAAAATGTGTGGTTTGTATTTTTTACTGTTTTTGTAATAATAATGTTTGGAGGAGTATCCTCTTCTTTCACATATCGCTTATTGTTTCTTACTTGCACTGTAATTGATTTTGGAGTAGAAGGGTTTAAATTTTGATTGGGCACAAATTGAACTGTATGACTAAAACTTGGAGCATTTTGTTTAGTTGTAATTGTACTATTTGGAAAATTATTTTGTGGAGTCTTGGCAACTTTAAAATTATTATATTGTTTAAAATTTAGCCTTGGTTTATCATTATTCTGAATGAAGTTGTTATGGATTTTTTGTGAACAAATTTCTTTGGGATCTTCTTTTATTTCCTGTAAAAACTTTCTTCGTTGTTCTTTATACCTTATTAAATGTTCTCTGATTTTCTTTTGCTCTTCAAGGAGCTGAAGGTATTTATATTCAGGCTAAAACATAAGTATTTATTATTTTTGAAATAAAACATTGTTTAAAAATAATACCTGATATTCAGTTGAACTACAATTAGAACTAGCAGGATTGTTTATTTTAGTTTTGGTATTATTTTGTCCTGAATTGTTTATAGGATTCCTTTCATTAATATATCTTTTTTTGTAACTGTTTTTATATTGGTTTCCATATGTATGAGGGTTGGGTCTATTGGTAATTTGGTCACATAGTGGAGCCTGCATTGGCTGTGTAACAGGTATGCAGGGTAATGTGGAAACCCAAACCGGAGAAGAAAGTTGTACTTGCATTGCACCTTGTACAGGTGTGCCTGGAATAACACCCGATGACCATGGCTGTACCCTGTGATGGTTATTTTTACTTGGAAATCGTTTTCTATGGTTTGAGCCTTGTCGTGGGTTGACAAAATACCTCCTTTTTCTTGGTTGCTCCTGTGGCTCTAAATTTGGATATTTTTCCAACAAACATCATGTTAACATGTAACATTATAATTAAATAAAAAGCTTACCTTGTTGGTTTTGAGATTTCTTTTCCAAAATGTTTGATATGTTTGTCTTTAGTTTTGGGTCTTCCAACATGGGTTTGTCTTCTTTATTTTCAGGTTTATCCAAATTGTCTTCCAAAGTTATATCCGCATCCAATTCTAGGAAGTCTTCATCACTCTCCAAAAGCTTACCTTCAGTGACCGAATCCACTTCGTAGTCGTATTCAGATTCGCTAAAAAAATATACAATTCAGCAATTTATTAAATTTATTTTTATAATGAAAACATACCTGTCCATGTTAATAGTATGATAGTAGGGTGCTCCTATTACCTATGAGATTTTATAATTATTAATTAACCTTAATTAATCAACTTAAAACTATCACATTAAAGTTTGTTTAATAAGCACAATTTCATTATCATAGAGTCTCTGGACATAACCCAACATATCAAAACCAGAATAGAAAAAGGAAAACCAGTGCTGCCAACTGATTTTCTCAATTTACTACTAAAAATTTCTGGGTTTACTCCATAGATAAAAAACGAAGAGAAGAAGAAATCTTTTTAAAATTATACAGGCTACATATAAAAGTGGTTAAACCTCTCCACATAGTCTAGAACCCGAGAAAATATCAGCAAATTTATAACCTATAGGTTATAAATTTATGTATATAAGTTATAAAATTTAATTTTTGATGTTTGGCAACATTGCCCAGCAGTAAACTTATATGCAAGGAATGCGGTCGATGTTGCCAATGGTAAAAAAATAAAATTCCCTATTGGGAACATTCAATTATATTACGTTGGCTACATTGAAAATTTGAATTTTCCCCACAAACTAAATTAATTTTCATCTTTTTTTTTAATAATAATAAATAATAATAATTCCCACATTTGAAATTCGCACCTTAATTTATTATACAACATTGGAACTACCTTCTTTATCTCTGGGAACTACTAGAATGTATAGTAAATTTAAAAGTAAACTACGTACACGTCATCAATCAGCTAATCGGGCACGGTTGTCAATGTGATGCTAAAATCCTTGCATCAAGGGAAAGTGGTAGTGCAACTACAGGGCGATAGATGGCGTTTACATGAATAATACCAAAATGTCAAAAGTCTGAGTTTTTATAACCTATATGATGCACCGCCAAAAGTATGTTTTTAGCCATTTTTAAAGACATTTTCTGATATAAAACCCAAACATTTTGCCATCTAAAGTCAGTCTCTGGTATATATATTATTATTTCATATATCAAACATATATTTTGTTAAATATTCTATTAATTAATAATAATCCTATTTACCTCTCTAACAGCTGTTAAAGGTAACAAAGGTCCATTATTATCCCGTTCTGCCTCAAAATAGCGTATTAAGGATGACACCAACTCTTGACTCCGACTATTTAAATGCTTCGGCATTTTAAATATAGGAAACACAAAAAAACGATATATAACAAACACAAAAACGGCAATGAAAACTTAAACGATATAAAATAACACAAACAACAAACAAAATAAACGAAATAATACACGAATTAAACGAAATATTCAAAAACACAACTGACAGCTTCGAAATTCTAAAACGTCAAATTCTTTTTTATGTCATTTAAATATGAAAAATTTGAATGTAAACATGACAACATCACAATTGTTGCCAACTTAATTTGGTTAAAATGCATTCAAATATTCAATTACAGACTTCGATTTAGTCATTTAGTGTTGGTACCAATGCGTAAAATTTTTGTTTTATTGATGACGTGTACGTAGTTTACTTTTAAATTTACTATATGTCAGTTTGTGCGGGAAATTCAAAATTTCAGTGTAGCCATATTGACTATATTATGCAAGAAATGCGGTCGATGTTGCCAATGGTAAAACAATAAAATTCCCTATTGGGAACATTCAATTATATTACGTTGGCTACACTGAAATTTTGAATTTCCCGCATAAACTGACATACATTCTAGTAGTTCCCAGAGATAAAGAAGGTAGTTCCAATGTTGTATAATAAATGAAGGTGCGAATTTCAAATGTGGGAATTATTATTATTTATTATTATTAAAAAAAAGATGAAACCTGTTGTTCATTTAAATGAGTAAGATACAATTAAAATGACTGCAATAATTATTAATAGGATAAAAATATTTACAGGTTTGACTCTCTTCCTCGTGGTCCTAGGACAAAAAACTTAAGAAACTTTCCGAAGGATTTTGATGAAAATAAAATAATATTATATAAAGATCAAGCTACTGAGGGACAAATTAAACATCATGTATTGGGATATAGGATCCATAAAGTTAAAAATATTTTGTTACATTATGATTTAAACGAAAATGAGGTACTTATTAAGGCAGATGTGCGAGCAGTCATGAAAGAAAATATTTATAAAGTATTTGTTAAAATATACAATAACGGTAATATAGAAAGGGCAAAATGCACATGTGTAGGTGGCATATCTGGAAGATATCTATAAGATACATATGTAAACATGTATTTGGTTTACTTTGGACATTATTGGATTTTACAAGGGAAGAATTAAATTTAATGACAGATAATAAGATACAATTGAACTACTTAAATGTCAAATTAAAAATTAATTTAGTTTGTGCGGGAAATTCAAATTTTCAATGTAGTCAACGTAATATAATTGAATGTTCCCAATAGGGACTTTTATTTTTTTACCATTGGCAACATCGACCGCATTCCTTGCCCATGGTCAATTGAATTTCCCGCACAAACTAAATTAATTTCCATCTTTTTTTTTTAATAATAATAAATTATAATAATTCCCACATTTGAAATTTGCACCTTAATTTATTATACAACATTGGAACTACCTTCTTTATCTCTGGGAACTACTAGAATGTATGTCAGTTTGTGCGGGAAATTCAAAATTTCAGTGTAGCCAAAGTAATATAATTGAATGTTCCCAATAGGGAATTTTATTTTTTTACCATTGGCAAAATCGACCGCATTCCTTGCATATGGTCACTTGGTAAATTTAATTTATCTATTTTGGTTTCATAATGACTTCATTATAACACCGCTTTTGGTTCTTTAACGAGGTACTTTATTCCACCCAAAATTTTGATTTTATAGGTTGGCTACTGGTAAAATACAATTTTGAATACCTATAGGTTATAATATTTTTATGATTTGTTTTCTAGTACTTACGAGACTTTTCGTGCAATAAATTTTGTTTAACACCTAAGAAAATCCTTTTTTCTTCTTTAACAGCTTATTGTAAATTAACGACGCCATAGCGAAAGAATGTGATAATGTTTGAAAGGTTAATGACCTTTCAAAATTCAAACTGAGATACCAACTATGTAAAGTAAAATTCCACCAAATTAAATATAAGGTATAAAATTAATTTGTTTTATGAAATGTTTGCAAAATAGATAAAATAGCATAAAGAACTCATGTCATAAGACCTTTTGTCGCACTTGTGAATTATAAAACTCGCTCCTTCGTCGCTCGTTTTATAAATTGTCCGCGTGCGACAAAATGACGTCTTATGACATTAGTTCTTTAATATACTATTATCTACGCCAGTGAGATAAGAACTTCTTATCCCACTCATTTTGAGTAAGATAAGAAGTTCATTAACGCACGCGTTTTTCTCTGCTTTTAACCAATCAAATAAAAAATCAAAATGTCAAAATAACCCTAAATTAAGTCTTAGACAAAAATAATTACCGTTTATTTTTTCATTTAGAGGCGTAGATAAAAATTTGTACAATATACGTGTGATAACGCTTTATTAACGTACTTTTGCGATTGCCCAACTCGTGCTACGCACTCGTTGGGCAAATTTCGCATGCGTAAGTTAATAAAGCTCTTATCCCACTTATATCGTAAATTCGCGAAGTTTACTGCTGGGCAATGTTGCCAAACATCAAAAATTAAATTTTCGGTTTCCGAGTTTTCAAAGGAAAATAAAATTTACGTACGATAGCCCAAACTAAATTGTTTTTTATAAGCTTGGCTACAATGACCATTAACGTATTTGTTTGCTTTTTTATTTTTTTACAAAGTTGGTATCTCATTCACTGCAACCATAGATTAATAACCTCTGCAACACTGCACAGAATCTAACGGCGCACAGTGTTTCAATTCTCGTAATTTTCGGCAAAATATCAAGGAGTAGTCGGATTCTCCTAAAAATCCGTATGTGAAGGTTTTTAGGGTCGCTGATAACGAATCTGGAATCGGAATTCCAAAATTTAAAATGGTAGATCCAAAATGGCGGACATATTTGTCAAAAAATTGACGGAATAAATTGAAAATCACCATACAGGGTTTTTGGGGTCGCTGATAACGAATCCGGAATCAGAATTCCAAAATTCAAAATGGTAGATCCAAAATGGCGGACATATTTGTAAAAAAATTGACGGAATTAATTGAAAATTAACATACCCTAGTAGCAATTTTGTCAAAGACTTGGGCCAGAATGGGTCAAGATACTTTGAACAGATTTTTTATCAAGAATCGGACAAGAATTGTCCCAGATTCTTGGCCAAGATTATTGGGCAAGACTTGGGCCAGAATGGGTCAAGATACTTTGTACAGATTTTTTATCAAGAATGGGACAAGAATTGTTCCAGATTCTTGGCCAAGATTATTGGGCAAGACTTGAGCCAGACTGTGGCCAGAATTTTGACAAGAATTTGACCAGAAATCTATAGAGTAGAGGTTCTCATTCTACAGTAGCATCAGAGCCGTACCGAGGCACACTTTTTTGGGGGGGGCGGAGACCTTATTTTTTTATACAGTATGTCCATGGATAGAGGGCCCAAGAGGACAAATGGACTAAAATTTTCATTTTTCGACCAAAAGTCATTCCTTATAAAAAGTTCTGCTTGTTGAAAAAAGTCTATTGCCATACTTTAAATTTGAAAATATTATACAGGGGGGTCAAAAAACAAGAAAACATGAAATACTCTCAGGAGTAAACTACCTTTATTTTTCGTTTTGGAGCAAAATGACAAATAAAAAAAAGATTTCAAATTGTATCCAAAGACTATTTGTAAAATTATAACTTGGTATTCGGAAAAATAAAATTTGGAATATTATTCCAAATTTTATTTTTCTTAGTTTTAAAATTTAATTTCATATTTACAAAAATGACACAAACAACAATAATCAAGTAACGTCAAATTGACAATTTGCATTCTATCATTGTTCATTTTGGTAATTAATGTAAATTTACACAAAATGTCCGGGTTAAGAACAATACCGTGTTTGGATTTGGAACCAACTGCCTAGACTTTGGGGGGGCGACTCCCCCCCTACACCCCCCTTAGTCAAAATTCTACTATTTGAATTAGTACCAGCATTTTTTACTAATAAAGTCGTTTTTCACTTTAAAATGGTTATATTTTACTACTTAAATAGTTAAAGTTTGACTAATTTAAGATAAGTCACCATCTTTGACTGTTTCGAATAGTTAAAAGTACCTAATATCTTTAATCGTTTGTTTAATAT